TGAGCGCCGTGGGCGGAGGGCGGCTGGAGGCCCTGTTTTGGAAGGCGACCCGTAGGTGTTTGTCCTTCGTTAACCGCTCGAGGTCGATACGCATTCGGCTGCTTCCGCTGTTCCCCCGCACTCGTCGGTTGGGTGCGACACGGGGGGGAGGCGGACAGTCGTAAGCACGAGGTTGTGGTCAGAGTCCTTGAAGTCGACACGTTTGACGGAGATATGACGCACGAAACGCCGGTCCGTCTGCTGCATGAGGATGAGGCGAGGCGGTACTTCTCCCTCCCTTTGTTGGAGCTCTGGAATGTGTGCTGCACTCCACCTTTCGGTGTCCGGAAGTAGGTGTTCGTCAGGGAGAGTTTACAATGGTCACTCAAGAACAAACGCAAAAAAAAATTTAATGTGGCGCGCAGCACGCAGGACCCTTTTCGCTGTTCCACCAGCCGTTTCCATGGCAAAACAGGCAAGGAACAGTCAAGGTCGACTCTTGCCGGCCACAGGAGGCGGAAGCTGCTCAAACTGGGGGAGGGGCCATGGTTACGGCTCCCTACCGAACCTTACTTGAGGCGCCACGAGATTTGCCTTGGACCTCGAGATCAGCATTTGAGACCGGGTCGGGCAAGGGGTGGGGGATGCGAGTGAAAGCTCCACACTCGCACGGATATCGAACGATGAGACCGAGGCTAAAGCTTCAGAATGATGACCCTGTTCCCCTTGTCTCGGCTGGTCGTCATGCTTCTCGTGTATGCTGTGTGTGCATGAGAGCAGATTCGCGGAGAGCTTCCGGTCGCTGCACAGCAAGAACCTGCTAGCGGCCGAGAAGAGGGCTATCGAGATGTTCGTCAACGGAGACATGCCTGCGGCGAAGGGGAAGAGGAAACTCAAGCCCATGACCGAGGTATTCTAACTCACTCAAATCCCAACAGAAACTGCAATATTTTCTTTCCTTTCGAGTTGGAAGACAGTGATTCAGTCTCCTTTTCGCGTCTATAGAGTGGATGATCTTGGCGCGAGTCCTCCCCTAATCCCCGTTCTACGGCCGACACGACAGCGAGCGGTAGGTTTGAGTATTTTCCCGTGGCGGAGCAACATGGGCGAAAAAGTGGTGCCTACCGACATGAGTGGGCACTGTGCTGGAGGGAACGGTTCCGCCCGGGTTTTGTGTAGAAAGGCGGTGATTTCTGGACACGGTTTTGTTGAAAGCAAAGAGAAAAGTCACACCAAGCCGCATCCCCAATACCTTGGCTACAAAAAGTCTAGGGAGTGAGTGGTGACGATCGCCACCTTTGTCAGGCCAGAAAGCCGGGCCTCGTTTTTAGAGACCAGGCCAGAGTTGTCCTGATCCCACCATCAGCGGAATAGCCACTCCAGTCCTCCCTGCAACCACCCTCGCCCCCCCGACGATAGCACGCCTTCGGTTTCGTCCAACATCTCAACCACCTTCTGGATTCATTCGCCGTCTCCATATCAAATTTACCCGACATTCTTGCCTCACAAATATGAAGTAAACGTCTTCCTGCCCGTGCACGTCTGAAACTGCTGTCTGTGTCCCTGTACATCGGAACCTTGGCCCGACGAACGAACTTGGTTAATTCAACCTGCAATGCCACAATGGATGCCGCTACAACAGCGGAGCGCGAGGAATGCGCACCGAAAGCTTCAAGACGCCAGATTCACCAAAGCGTACGAGACGGCTCTCATGGAGTGGTTTCAGCAACGAGTGCTCGGGGCCGGTTTGTGAGGAGAATGTAGACCGGTGGAACACGTCGACTTCCAGCTGAATACCCATCGTGGAGTGCAGCAGTGAAGTCGGAGGACCATCGTAGCGTGAATGCAATGTCGTCTCTCTCCCTGTTAGTCAGAGAGCATGCATCTGTTGGCGATGCTAGTTCTATGGATACATAAAATGGCTGAAGATGTACGATGTAAGAAAGTGGGGCGAAACACTAGTCGCGTCGAAGCCTAGGCTTGCGCTTTGAGTAATGGTGTCCCAAGTCTGTGGTGTCAAGGTTGAGCATGTACGTGCATGTCAGTGGTATTCATAACGTACGCTTTGTATGTCGTGGTCAACGGCGGCACTTGTTTGTCTGGTCGTATATCATGCAGCAGCAGTACCGACAGACGATTTCTCGCACGCGTTTCGCATGATTTCGTGGAACTAGAGCTAAAATTCAGAAGTTGAGCTTCAGCCAAAGGCACGGTCCGGATTTTTGCTTCCCCCGTTATTTTCGAAGCAGGAAACCCAGAACCCAACCTTGCAAAAACGCAGCTCGCCTTGCGGCGCATGCTGATTTAACAAGAGAAATTTGCATGTAACAAAGGCCAGGGACAGATAAGATAAGACAGTGCACGCCCTACTGCAACCAAATTCGCACCTTTCGCAAGATAATTCGTACTGGTACACCCACCATTTTCTGCAAGACTACATTATGTACCACACAGACCATTCTCTAGTGTCCACTGCGCTCAGTGCTTCCCTACCGCCACCCCCCCCCCCCCCCCCCCCCCCCCCCCCCCCCCCCCCCCCCCCCCCCCCCC